TAATAATATAATATAGCTCTTGATGGTCGTTTCAGAAATGTCAAGAAGTACATGTTTTAAATCTAATCCCACGTAAAAGATTACCTACTTGCTGACAAATAACAGCTACCAGACTTCTGTAAAGACGACACTGTAAACAAGAAATGTTTTAAGGTTAAATGGAATCCTGTTGAATCATACGATCCATGAAATGTCCAAAAATGAAGAAAAACTACAAACACAGACTATTATTTGGCATTTCTTCCAAGTTGATAATCCTACTAGTCTATTGTTCAGTGCCATCCTAGCCATCTACCATAATACGAGTAGGAATAGAAAAAACATTTAGCAACTCACACATATTAAACGGGTCAAAAGCATTTCCGATGAACAATGGATGGTCCAGTTTCATCGTAATCTCCCTTGGTAACATGCTGATTCTGAGGGAACACAACTTTGGCAAGTATGGCACCACCCACCCATGCAGAGTACTCCGTCAACTTATCGGGCATATATTCTGGAGGCTGTCGTGAACACAAATACAAATTTTGAAATGCGCTATATAAGAGACTACCAAAAGAACATAAAGCACAAAGGAAAAGGAAAACCATGTCCACTACTTCCAGGAGGAGAAAACTGTCAACTATCACTGTCACTCGTAAACAGGCGTGTGAAAAAATATATGGGAATTAGAAAAAAAATGTTAGACATAGTCTATGATGACAAACTTACAAAGTAAATGTCTTGAAACTATATATAAGAGAGAATATAGTTTACCATTTAATGAACTTCTAACCTGTAACCTAGTCTTGTTTCATTTATTCCTTCTAGAAATACTGGTAATATTAGCATGGAGGATATTGACCTACACGTAACAAAAGCATTAAATCTATCTAAACATTGTAGAAAGGTGATTTCGTTTATAATCTATGATATTTTAAATCAAAAGAAAAAACCTCTAATGTTCAAACAAGTATACTTCTAAAAAGAATTTGATACACTAACAATTTTTTAAAATATGTTTCCTTATGAAATCTTCACAAAGAAAATCTACAATGGGACAACGTGCAGCTTCCTCACATAAACACAAAAGCATTATATGCCGAACTGCGGAACATGTGAGTTAGAAAAATCCTAAACATCTGAGGATTGTTATGCACCGACAAGCAGGAAAGAAGCAAAGTGCTCCCATTGCTGCCTTGCTCATGTCAATCCCACCACCAATCAGCATCCTCACATCACAGGGCCAACATAAGGATAATCACGGTAAAACATGCACACAATAAACACGAAACCCCAAAAGTTCAGGAAAAATACATAAATAAAAGTATATCTGATCACTTACCTTTACAAGTGAAGGACGAATAGCTGAAGAGCACAGGCTTGCTTCTTTCTGAAACCTATCTTCAAAACCTGCAGAAGGCATCGGTATAGCAATTTTTTAGCTGTCCCAAGCAACAAATTCCGTCTGATCAAGAAGGGAATGCAGCAGCAAAAGGGCATCATGTTTAAACTACTGTACATAGATTTCAATTAAAGATAAATAAACTCACCAGGCATAGAAGTTATGCCACCACAAAGTACAGTATTTTCCAGCAGTTGGCGGTGGTTCTCTGAAGAAACAGTTGAAATACTACGTACAAGCTGCTCAACTATTCCAAGTGCCTCTATACCCAGTATAGATGGTTGAAATAATGCCTCACCAATTGTATATTTTTCTCTTCTAATTCTAATCACCTAACAAACATTCAGAGCAGTACTGAATTCCTATATTTCATATCAAGCGTCAATCAGGAATATGCTAATACTAGATTAACAAAAGCAATACTAGGCTAGAAAATTATTTTTTGGCACAAAAGGAGAATCTCCCCTTGCAGTCACTTGTCAGACACGTTCCAATCTCATTTTTCACCCAAAATAGTTTCAAGAGTTTTACATAATCAAGGTACTGTATTATCACATAATTTACATTAAATCTTAGAACTCAGAAAGCAATCTTTTGAGGCCTGCTCCTGATGGTACCAGCCACATGGATCAAGAGACCATGAAACCGCATGAGATTGGAACTCTGTGTCCAATTTTCCCACCAAAAGAGATGCCAAAGAACCAGTTGATTCAAACTAATTGCAGGTTAACTAGTGAACAGGGAAGGAAATGATATATCAATCCCGTCATTTGGGTGATGTTGAATTACGAAATTCATAAAGACAGGCAGGGAAATAAAAGTTTGAACATGGATCAAGAGAGTGAAAGTGAGCCACTGAACCAACGGGCCATTATACTATGTGTTAGCTTAACTGTTCCACATACTATAGGCCTATTTGTTTTTACATTTTACATTTTTTTATTTTATTTTTGTTTTAAATTAATATTTTTTTTGTGTTTTCAGATCATTTTAATGTGATATCGTGCTGATATCAAAAATAATTTTTAAAAAAATTATGTTGCTATATTTCCAAGTAAAAAGCACTTTGAAAAACAACCGTAACTACACTCTATATATACCAACCAAGACATTAAACTTAAAAGAAAACTTTATCACATATAAGTAGCTTGCTATCATTATTAGATCCCATATTTATTGCAAATTCTGACATCATAGCTTGAACACCCAGGTTGAACCTGATTGGATGAGACTAGTTTTTAAAACAACACACAAAAACAAACCTGTCCATCAGGAAGGGTATGCTCCTCTGTATCACTTGACCTTTGAGTCTTCTCGTAAGCAAGCTCGTCTTCAGCACAACAGGAGTACTTTACTTTTAACATCTCAACATCAGATGCATTGAGATTCGCCAAAAGATTAGATTTACTCAGTTCTTGGGCAAGTAACTTCGTCAAATCAACACCACCAATTTCAAATCTTCTTGAAGCAATGTGCTGAACAGCACCTTCAAGTACTGGTGCAATATCTGGTAATACAAGAGGGAGAGACAGACAGAGAGAGAGATCACATCTCAGCCAGAAAACTAACCCAGACAAAGGTACTCACTACCCATTTAGTATTTGTTATGTCTTAAGCTAACTAAAGGACTACAAGCTCATGTTCAAATGCTATTTGAAATGGAAAATAAAGAAAGAAAATAGGTGATAATCAAGCGCGAACCACCAAGAAAATTAAGCTTTACAAAAACCTCCTCCAGTTTTCATCATCAAAGGCTTACATTATGAGGGACAAGTTAAGTACCAGAAACACTCTTCATGCATAACAAGAAAATAAAATTTATGCACATCGATTGCAAGCAATGATCGAAAGTGAAGGTATCCAATGGAAAAAACCATTAGCTTAAACTTTAAAGAGATAGGTTTTACACACCAATCTTCCCATGACCGATATCAACGGTGCATCCAGATATGCGGCCAACTGCATAAAGAGACAACACCGCTTGCTCCGACGCATAAAACCCAGAAACATTAAATGTCTCAAACATCAATTGTACCAATTGTTCTCTAACAGCCTGTAATACAAAAATTCAATAAGGTTTTCACACTCTCTTACTAAATTCATGCTAACAAACAAAGAAATTAGGCAAGGAATGTCAAAGGAAGGTGTAAAATAACCTTGGGAGTGCAAAGCGGATCGGTAAACAAAATTTGGCCTTCATTTCCCTCTTCCCAACCAAGACCATTGTATAAAACATAATGCAACAAATCTTCTATCGCATCCCAATCTCTTATATAACCTCGAACAACAGGATCGACAGTTACATCCTCAAAAACGGATTCATTATTATCGCCCGATGTTCCATCTTCCACCATTCGTTTCATTTGGCTCGGAATTATCTACTCAAACAATAAATTAATTTTAATACAAATTAAAAAAAAAAGACTATTGGAAATGAAAACCCTAATAGAAATTAAAATTGTAAAATTATAGTTAAAAAGAAGTGAAAAGGTAAAAATTAGAAGATAAATTGTTGTTGGCTGTGATTTTGTTAGGGAACCCTAAGGGAGGGGACGGATGATTATTGTTACCATGGGCGGAGCTTGATCTGGAACTGCCGTGCCGGCTTTAAGGAGCTGAGTACCAGCGTCTATCACTGCCGCCTCCATTGCCAAGCGCCTCTCGAGTTGCTGCTGTTACTGGAGGGGGGAGCTTATATTTAGCTTCTTCTCTTCTCTCTTTATTAGCGGGTAGTCCAATTTGAAAACTCTGCTGGCTAATGCCAGTTAGTTGTGTTTGTTTTTTTCGCTGATACTGTCTGTTTCAAAACAAAATTACCTTTTTTTTAATTTTATATGTGGGATAATATCACATAAAAAAATTAATATATTTAAAAAAAAATCTTAAAAAAAAATATTCACTCTTATAATATCAAACACCACATAACCTTAGCAGTGATTTGATTTTTATTTATTTATTTTCTAAACCACAAAATCCTCCCAGGTTTGGAAATATTCAGTAATCTTAAGAAAAATTGGTCATAGATAAAACACTTTTCAATAAAAAAATTGGTTTTAAAAAAATATTTTTCTTTTATTTTCTCTAAAGCACTTTTTAAAACTTTAAAAAAAATAAAAATGACTAAACATTTTTTCATTGTCATTGATTTTATTTAAAATAATATATGAAATTAAAGTTTTTTTTTATTTTATTTTTTTCAACCTTTTATTTATTAGATGTAGTGTTGAAAAAAATATTAATATATTATTTTTCAACCTAATTTTCATATTATGGTCAAATACAAAATTATTTTCTAACTTATATAATATAATTTACTTTTTAAGAATTTACTTTCCGAAAACTAATTTTTTAAAAAAACCTACTTTTTGGGGAACACAGACGGCGAAGCTAAAATTGTGATTCCGTAAACAGTAATGGAATGGATCCCAACCTTCCATGTCGGCGACAAAGAAAGTCAATTTACTTCATTCATTGCCCATTTTTGTTAGCTTACGCTGTATATTGCAGAAAAAGATTCACTGGGGAGTTTCTTGAGAAGCGACATGAGCATTTGCAAATTTTCAGTGGCAAAACAGCATCCATCAAATGCAGCCATTGACAAACACGTTGACAGAGGTAGAAATGAAGGGGCAAATCAGTGGAAGAAGATAACAGTTGGCGGGCTACTAGTACTTGTATACAGCTTAGCCTCTACATATCAACAGAAACAGCTCATTCTCATATCAGACGTGAAGCTGGCATTTCCTGGCCGCTGCTTGTATAACAGTCGTGTAGATTATCAGCTTCCATATTCGAAGGCGTCTCATTTAGACGGTGATAATCCATATCCACTGAAATGGGGGTATATAGCCCCAAAATCCTCAACTGAAATCAAGTTGCACTGATGGCCAATTCCAGAACCATCATTATTGTCTTCCGTAACTGAAGGAACTTCAACTTCCAGGTCTGGCATGCCAGCCAAAAGGGCTTCAAGGGGAGGCTTGATACCCGAGTTTCCTTGAGAAACAAATTTCACTTCAGGATTGGAGATTCAAAATCTACTATGGAAGAAGCGCATGAGAGATCAACAATGTTCTGCGGAATGTCTTGTTTAGACTCTTCTTCTGTGCCTTCTGTACAAGCAACCAATTCATTTGAAACAGCTACTACCTGGATAGTAACAAGGCCATCATTAGGCTGATCTACAGAAAATTCTTTCAGGTTTTCCGTAGATCAAAAATGTCACTTGATCCATTGCCAGCTTCTCCATCCTTTATGCCGTGATTCATCTGATATGAATGAGTACCCGCAACATCATATGAGGCTGCTGCAACTGCATGGCCACCACAAATGTCCTGTGAATCACTTTCTCCCCCTTAGCTGTGTTTAGACTCTTCTTCAGTGCCTTCTGTAGAAGCGACCAATTCATTTCAAACAGCTACTTCCTGGATCGTAACAAGGCCATCATTAGGCTGATCTACAGAAAATTGTTTCAGGTTTTCCATAGATCGAAAATGTCACTTGTTCCATCGCCAACTTCTCCATCCTTTATGTCGTCTGTCATCTGATATGAATCAGTACCTGCAACATCATATGTGGCTGGTGCAACTGCATGGCCAACACAAATGTCCTGTGAATCACTTTCTCCCCCTTCGCTATGTTGGCATTGTTCATCAACTCCCACGGCCATTTTCAAAGATCTATTATCATCAAGATATCTCATCACATTCTCATCATCCTTTAGAGTAGTAACATTTGAAACAGAAGAAAGTGAAATTCCCATGTGCTCTGTCCCATCAGATTCACTGAAATAAGGGGAAGGGTCTACATTTAGTTCAGATTCAACCACTGGTGGAGCTGCTTTCTCATTGGTGTTTTCTTCTTCACTTGGAAAATCAGGAGCCTTAAATGCAAAAGTTTGAGAATATTTCTGGGACTGCATTGAAGTCGAAGACAAGAATCCAGCAAGTGCATATGCTAAAGCATCATCACTTGACATAGCATGCTTTTGTTTAACCTTCGGAGATTCCTTCACTGATTCTACAGCATGATCTTCTAACTCATCATCATAATTTGAGAACTCAGGAGCAGTGACTACCAGACCAGGTTGTAACTTTGTGTCATTTACTGAAACAGGGGTGGCATCAGCGAGAATGGAAGTCAGAGGTGAAGGTGAATGGCTCTTATTTGTTTCACATGCCATATAACCAGAATCCCCACTCCCACTGTTATAGAAGGAGCTGGTCTCTGATTCACTGCATGAAAACTCAGGAGCAGAAATTCTTGTGCCAGAAAGCAGAGCAGAGTTCTCAGTTTTCTTTGTGAGCACATCAAGTTGCTGCTCAACTCGCTGGAGCCTCACATCAATGCTGTTAATGGGCTTCAGCATACTTTCCTCAAACTTCAAAAAGAGATCCTCTATTCTGTTAACTCGAGAGACAAGATGATCCAAGACACCTTCAAAATGATTGTGTGAAATATCAGATTTGCTCTCTGTATTTGAAACTTGTTGGACGATCTCATGCTGGACTGGTTTGGAAGTAGGCCCAACAACTTTGTGCAACCTCACTTCCTCCTGAATTTTCTTCTCGACATCAACTGGAACAGCTTCTTTTGACCCAATTTCCTGCAACTCTTGCCTTTCCCTTGTATCAATATTGTATTTATCTTCTCCTCCACCAATACCCTTTGTTTTAGGCAACTGAAAAAAGGGAGGTACAAGCATGGCCATAAGTGAACTTCCAGCAGAGTTTTCCATTAGACCCACTTGATTATCCAAACTACTTGCGTCGACAGGATCACCAAATACATAAACTTCATCAACACAAACATAACCGTTATTCTTAAGAGAAAGCAGCCTGAGTGTAAGGGATATGGAAGTTTTTGCATCAGTGATCTCTGCTGCAGCCTCATACAAGTCCTGAAAGTTCTATCCATCAGGCATCGACAATCAATTAAGATAAAGCAGTAAAGAGTCAACTGTGCTTAAGTGCTTTCAATTAAGTTCTATTGTTTAGCTTCTATTCATTTCAACCCTCCCTCGGAAGTAGAGTTGTATAGTATACAAACCAAAGAAAAGTGCCCCAAAGGGAAGTGATATTGTGCAGTAAGACAGAACCAACCAGAGAGGGAAAGCAAGGAAAGAAAATGCGAAAAAAAGGAAAGGCAAGGCCTTTATTGACCCGTTACAAGATATATTACACAAGTTATATTACACAGCTCGACTCCAGAAATAGCATCCATATCTTGTTCTGGAAAAGCGAGACAGATTAACACCCCTCTAATGATATTCAACTTAAAAAAGACCTACTCATTGAAAACACGAAACATTCGATCTTTTAAATTCAAAGGGTACTTTAATCACATCCACTTTCCCTTTTTTTATCTTGTATTCATTTTCTAGTGAAAAAAAGCTCAAATTAGTATGTATCAGTTACATTAGAGTAGTGCTTGAAAGCCCCATCAATTGCAGAGAAAGAGGTAAAGAAAAATGCTTTGACACCTTGGATGAGTTCTTTTGTTGTATGGGGAAAATGGAAAGAAACAAACAGGCAAATATCCCAGCATGGCAACAGGAGGCAGATGAGCTTGTCTTTGATAAGTCTTTATAGCAGCAAATCTCATTACCTGTGAGTTTCTCTTTGGGTTTATGTCAGAATTTGATGGTGAAGAACTGTTTCTGTTGATGACCAGGGGACTATAAAGAACTTTCACTTCAAACCAGTCATTTTCATTGGGGGTTAGGCTTCTACCATTTCTGAGTTTCTCTTCAGCTAGTTCTTGAATGGAACTCCTTGCATGAGCCAAAACAGCTTCTTCAATATTGGTAGCGTGCTGCACCTCATCACTTCTAGCAGCAGCAATGCCACAGCAAACAGTGCACAAATACTCACTGCTGCTCCGCAGCTCAGGAGCATGGTATATTTCATAAACTCGAGCAGTACTTCGAACATAAACCTGTCTCACCTCATGTTTTTGTGTAAAATTACCTGCATTATAAGAAATTATTGGATCATTCACAAAGAGAGTGAGAAAGGACTATAAAATTTCTCGTCCAGCTTCAAGTTGACATAAATAAGAAGATTACAAATAATAACATTCCGTGTGACAGAACGGTTTAAGATGATGAGTGATAATACACCATTTCTCTATAAAACTCTTGCAATTTCAGAACTCTTCTTTAATTTTTAGCAACAATTAATATAAGTCTATAATCATTAATCAGACATCTAGACAATTTTAGTCCACCATAACACTTAAATATCTTGAAAAACCAAAAAAAAAAAAAACTTATGACTTACAGACATTTGAGGATTTACGATCAAATGAACCATTATGGATAGAAAAATACATCATATAGCAATAAAAATGCCCATTGACTAATAAATGCCATTAACTAAACTCGTCCATGAGAGCAATGAAACCCAAGTGTGTAATCTAAATTTGCCAATAAGCTCCTCAAATGACCACCTATTCTAAAAGGGTAGACTTCACAAATATCAAAACAAAAAAAAAAAAAAGCCTTCAAGAAAAATGCATATTGCAGGACCCATTACCATGCAAATTTTAGAATAATGCAACATTAATTTCTATCATTGTCTAAAAAATGCTTACACTCTGACAAATTTTAGATTGAGGGCCAAATACTTAGGGGTGTTTGGGACAATAGTAGATATTGTTTTTCAAAAATATTTTTTATTTGGAAATACATTAAAATAATATTTTTTTTATTTTTTTAAAAATTATTTTTAACATTATTACGTCAAGTATTTTTTACTTGGAAATACATTAAAATAATACTTTTTTATTTTTTAAAAAATTATTTTTAACATTATTACGTCAAAACAGTTCAAAAACAAAAACAAATATTTTCAAAAATGGCGGAATGCGCAATGATGGTTCAACAGCAGCGCCAAATAGTCACTTACTCTCAAACATCAAATTCATATATGATGTATCTTAACCACAAAAATGACTCAGGATAAGACATTTACAAACTGATTGTTGAATTTCACAAAGACATTCATCACTGATTAATCCACCAATTCCTCTTCAGATGACCAAGAAACTCTAGAAATTAAAATTATAATAAAATTATTTATTTCTATGAAAACTTCAGTAAACCACTAAAAGAGTAAAACACAAGTAATTAGTATGTACTTCTACGCCTTGAAATTTTCTAGTTTTTGTAAACATAAATAACACGCATAAAAAAAAACAACCTGAATCTTAAATTCACAAAAAAAAAAAAACAAGTTTCCTGTTTCCCCTTTTCTTTTCAAATCATCCTTTTTTTTCCCTTCGTTATCTTTGTGTCCAAACAGCAGAACAGCAGATACAGTAAAATCTTCGGGGTAGGGAGGTGGGGGGGATCGATTCTCAAAAAATATAACAGATAAATAATTTACAATAACAAAATAAAATAAGCGTGGAAGATTTACAAGTGATCTCGCAGGGAGAGGAATCAGGTGTAGGAGCGTAGAGGATAAGAGGAGATTTAGATTTAGAATCGACAGGGGAGATTTGATGGTGATCATTATTGAAAGTGATTGAGTTAACGAGAGAGCCAGCGGCGATGGTCCAGTTAGTTGCGGCGGTCCATGAAGTGCCGTGATTGACGTAGTTCTCGGACGATTCCATAGTTGTTTGGTTAGTTACTTAGGCTTTTCAGAGGTTTTGGTTCTTTCTGTTTTGCTGTGTGTGTGTGTGGGGTTTATCAGACAGAGGAGAAATGTGAGCCGACCCCGAGAGAGGTGATGTAGTCGGATTTTATACGCGCATCAGAGGAGAAATGTGAGCCGACCCCGAAAGAGGTGATGTAGTCGGATTTTATACGCGCGCTGTGGAAGTTGTTTGGTTTTTGCTATATTTTTGGAGGGGGGAAGGAAGTCTTCAATCACAAGTTTTTACTTTTTATTTAAAAAGAAAAAGGATGATGGACGGCAAATTTTAGTAAAGCGATACCGTTAATACTACCGTTATACAATGTTTTCGAAATTATTTTAAAAAAATATATATTAAAGTAATATTTAAAAAAATAATTTTGATATTTGCTAATCAAAATAATATAGAAATAATTAAATAAAAAAATATTTTTTTTAGAAACATCATTTAAAGCACAAATTCCAGAAGATTCTTAAACCCTATTTATTTTTACATTTTAAAAATATTTTTTTAAAAAAAAAATTTAATTAATTTTTTTAATATTGTTAAATATATTAATATTAAAAATAATTTTAAAAATATATTATTTTAATATATTTTTAAATAAAAAATATTTTAAAAAATAATTACTATTACATATCTAAAATACCCTACATTTTACCTCTATTTTTCTTGCAAGGACAAAGAAAAAGGTCCCTTGCAGGTTAAAAGAAAAGGGTTGTGAATAGTTAATTGTTGCATGCTCGTTTGAAGGGCTTTGGAAGAAAGCTACGGATGATCTTCCTAAAACAGCCTTTGTCCTTCAAAAACGAAAAAGACAGTATACGGCTCAAAATGTTCAGTGGGGCGCGAAATTGGTCGCAAACTGTTTGGCTTTAGTGACTGTTTATTATTATATTAATGATTTTTTTTTTAGAATTTTTTTATTAAAAAATATATTTAACTAATATTTTTATTTAAAAAAAATATTTTTGATATTATTGTATTAAAATAATTTAAAAATAATTTTAAATAAAAATAAATTTTAAACAAACAATGCAAAAATATTAAAATAAATTAAAAATAAACAACAATTTTAACTTGATAAACATATTTTTAATATAATGTCGGCAAACCAAGTCTAAAGATATGTTTACTTTTATATTTTAAAAGTATTTTTTGAAGGTATGTTTACTTTTATATTTTAAAATTATTTTTAAAAAAAAAATTAAAAATTTTACTTCAAATTAATATATTTTTTATATTTTTAAATCATTTTAATGCGTTGATATTAAATATAATTTTTAAAAAATAAAAAATTTTATTTAATACATTTCTCAATAAAAATTACTTTAAAAAGATAACTATAATCATGTTCCATAAACATCCTTAATATAATCATTTACAACTTTACATGGTAGAGATGGTAGCTTTGTAACTAATGATTTCTTATAGCATTCACTAATTAGATGACTATTTTTATTTATACATAAAAAAATAAAAAAATAAATATTTTTAAAATAAAAAAATATAATATTCAGATAGTTGGTTTAAGTGAGTTTAATAAATGCTATTGTTTTAATAGTATCATTAAAAAATAAGATATCGACAAGTAACAAAACAGAAATAAAAAAAAAAAAATTCAATGCAAAAAATGAACTATTACCGATATTATAAAAATATATTTTCACAGCAATTCAAAAAAAATTTAATGATCTTATTTGTTAACAATATAAAAATAAATGAAAATATGATAATTTTATAAAAAAATATAAATAAAAAAATCAATCATTATTAATTTTTTAAACTATAATCTGCATTATACGACCAAAAATACTATGTATGAAAAAACCATGAAAGTTAAAATCACCAAAAAAAACAATATAAAAAATACAAAATAAATAAAAAATAAATAAAAACAATGCATGTTGAAATTACAATAAAAAATAAATTAAATGGTAGCAACAAATTTTAAATATGAGAGTTGGATTAAAAGGAATGAAAACATTAACAAAATGATAAAAATTAAAAGAACAAGGAAAAAAATGATATATTATAAATTTGGATTAAAAGGTGAAACTAAAAATAATAAAACTTCCATAAAAGATTCGAGAAAAAAATAAAAAATCACAAGAATAAATATCAAATCATAATAAAAAATATATGAATAATTCTTCGATGTGTTTTTTTATACTAAAAAAACTTTTATGATGTGTTTTTTTATACTGAAAAAACTTTTAGATATAAATAAAAAAAACCTATACACTCATTTAACTAAACAACTCAATAAGCACCATCTACCATAATGAAAAAAAAAAATCATCAAGAATAAACAAAATGAAATTAAGAAAAGCAAGTGAAAAATAAAAATCAAGATATCTAAAATTATAATATAGGTGATTTACCGAGTTATATTTAATATTTATTTTTCAATATAAGTTTGTAATATAAAAACACATAAATAATTATAATAGAAAACAGCATATATATAAAAATTATTGAACAATAATTAAAAAAAAAATGCAAGGTTGCAAGTATAAAAAATCCTATAAAATCAATATATAAAAAAAATCTAATCTATGTAACATCAAAAAAGATATATAGATGAATCATGCCCACCTCTCTAAAAATCAAACACACTTAATATTATTTTAAAAGAATAACAATCTTTCTAAAACACAAACCCACCATTTATTTGAAAAAATATACACAAATAATATATTATTTTAAAAAAATAAAATGAATCAGACCATACATTGCTAAGCTCGATAAGCTAGACCCAGCATCTGCCCCAATAAAGCAATGATCCACACATGGACCTGCAATACTAGGTCAAAGAGAAAGTTTTTTTAAAAAAAGTTTAATAGGTTAGATAATGCGTCACCTGCTTCAAGTGTATCAAAAAAATAATGTGTTGTCAATAGATGACGCATTATCTTATCAACCTAAAATTTTAATACTACAGTAGCTAGAAAAATTTGACCCTTTATTTTTTTCATCCAAAAATCATTTACGAGAGTTTTTTTTTTTTTAAATGTTTAATAGGTTGGACAATGCGTCACCTGCTTTAAGTGTATCAAAAAAATAATGTGTTGTCAGCAGACGACGCATTATCTTATCAACCTAAAATTTAAATACTACGGTAACTAGAAAAATTTGGCCCTTTATTTTTTTCATCCAAAAATCATTTTAACTTTTTTTTAGTTAAAAATACATACAAAACACCTTAGAGCTCTTATTAAACCAATCTATAGCTACCAAAAAAATAAAAAAAACCATCTTAAAACCCAAAATCCACATAATACAAAAATTATTCCCGGGTCTAGATCTTTTATTTTAGGTGTTTTCAAAGTAAATAAACACTCAAACAAAACCCTTGATTATATTAAATTTTTTAACATAAAAATTAATTATTTTAATGGTTAAAATCTTTCCCAGCAACTATTTTTTTTTTTAAGTGAAACTTAGAGACTCTCTCTCCCCTTCGAACATAAAAGGATAAAAAAAAGTTAGGTAATGTATTATCTTTAAATTTAAGGAGCTTCTCATGTAATATTTTAAAAAATACCGGTTTGAAATAAATATTTCAATGAAATTTTTAATTTTTTCCTTATATTATTCAAGATTTTCACTGTAATTCTTTATCCTTCAATCTAACCCTTTCTTTTTAAAAAATATGTAACTGGGAATTAATTTCAATTTTAAAAAATTAAATTATGCAAAATAAAAATTCAAGAAGTAAAATGAAAATTACCAATAAAATAAAATAAAATACACTGCTTCAATGATGTATTGTGAACGAATGCACAATAATTGAAGGAAGGTAAAAAGTTAATACCTTTTAACAACGAGCCTTGTCACTTGTCAGTCAATAGACACGCCGCCATCATGACATGTTCTTATCTACTCCTGAAATTGGCCATGGTCTGTCTAAAAGTTAATTTGCTTGAAATTTGTGATTAGGATGGGGGTGTTGATCCAATGAAAAGTGATTAAAAAAATTAATTTTTTATTTATTATAAAAAAATTAATTAATAAAAAATATTTTTTACTTAAAAAAATATGGCTTGATTTTTATTTATTTTTTATTTTAATTGAAAAATATTTTATAAAAATTATAAAAAATTTAAAAATATCATATTATTTGTTGATTATATCAAATTTGATGTTTAAATTTTTAATTGTTATATATATATATATATATATATATATTTTATTTTGAATATATATTTTTTTTAATTTTTATATTAACTTTAATTTTTATTTTCTTTTCTCTTGTTATTTTTTAATTAATTTTTTTTATTTATCAAATCTAATCCTTATTCTTTTAATTGTTACTTATTTTATTTGAAATAATTTATAAAATAATAATAATAATTATTTTAATCTATTTATTTTTTTATTTTTTATTTTTTAAATTTAACCTTTATTATTTTAATTATTATTTATTTTATTTGATATAATTTATAAAATTATATTTTTTTCATTCTCATTCTCATTCAACTTTTTAATTTGTAAGATTTTTTTTATTATTTTAACAAGTTTAAAATATAAAATATTAATAAATTATTTTTTAGCTTATTTTTCATAATATAATCAAATATTAAAAACTATTTTACAATTTATTTTTTTATTATACTATTATTTTTAAAACAAAAATTACTTTCTAACAAAAAAAAAAAAACCATTCCCTCAGTACACACTTGAACCATGCACGCACCGCGCGCTTCGATCCCAGATTTATCTCAGTATCGGAGACATGCAAGCAGGACAGGAGAGTTTTCATCACCGCAGCGCATGAAGTGGGAAGATTACTTGGGTCAATGATGCCATTATCTTCATCATCAGATAAAAATATTAAAAAATTAAGACAAAGTCCAGGATACTTCGGATTGATTTACGTGGCAAAGGAGCATAGGTACACGAAAAAAAAAAAAAAACATGTATCGAATCCTCTCAAGGATGTTTTTTTTTTTTTTTGGTTTTTCCTCGGTCAAGCTTGTCCGAGAATGAGATGATAACAGAAATAGATACGACGCACAACGGATTGTGAAGCAACATCCTCAACAAAAGAAGCCGAATATAAGCAATTTAAAGTTGCTTCATTAGTGGTTAAAGTACACAGGCTCTCAGGAATGGCAACCTCAGAATAGAAAAACTGACAAGACAACAATACCCTCAGTTCAGTGGCGACAGATCTTAGCGGTTGGCAGGGTTACCCTAACCGATGCTTACATCTTCTTGGCTTGAGGGCTCCCTGGCTTCGGCTCCTCGGCCACAGTAATCCCAGCGAGTCCATCGTGTTTTTGTTCCATATTCCAATTTAGTTTTTCTTTAATTAATAATTTTTTAGTATTTTTAAATTATTTGGATGTGTATTTTTAAAAGATAAAAATAAAAAAATATTATTTTAATATATTTTAAAATAAAAAATACTTAAAAAAACAAACATAAAATCCCATCATAGTTGCTCTGGCAGCACTAGCTAACACAAGTCTCCGGCTGGAAGCTAACGAAGACCGGGCACCAAAGGTTGTGCTGTTGACGAATGAGGCAGTCGTGGTGATTGAGGCCATTTGTACACGGGTTACTGGTACTGCTATATTTACGGATAATTTATTTCTTTTGTTTTTTATATAATGTCCAGGCTTGTTAAATCCCGGGAATACAAGTGAAAGGTAAGAAAAAGAAGTGGGCATTGTATCTTATGCTAACACTTACATAGATCCACGAGATCAGTGCCGCCAATCATGAGCAGTATAATATGGTGAAGTGTTGATAGTTGACACGCAGTTATATTTATTGACTTGTGTTTTAATATAATAAATAATATGTATAATATAAGTGTAGCACCTTAGCATATTTCTCATTTCCCCAAAATTTTCTTTTTTCCCCCCCGCTAACTATTCAAGAGCTTTTCTATTTTTTTTAGCTGCTCTCTTCCTTATGCAATTTTTTTTTTCAAGTCCAATTAAGCAACTTTAGGTAATTTTTTAATTTAATTTAATTTTTATTTTTTTATAATTAGTTATTAAAAATATTAGGATTTATAATAATTTAGAGGTTTTGATATATATAATATTTTGAATAAATTAAAGATGAATAGTAGTGGATTAGACTGTAAGATTTTGAACAATAGATATTGATTTGATTATTTTGAATTAATTAAAAGTTATATCATTTACAAATAAATTAGTTAGGAATTAAATTTTTTTATGAGATAAACAAGTAAACATTTAAATTATTACCAGCAAGTAAAAATTGATATTTGCATAATTAAAATTGTTTAAGCTTAAGATTGGTCTTTTTTATAATGTTAATTTCCTTATACCTTCCTATAAAATAATCAGGATAGGTAATTAAATAATTCATATTTTATATATTTTTTCTCTTTTTTTTTTTGTTAGACAATTTGTATTTTGCTAGAGAAGAATTAATATATGGATGCAATCCTGATTCTAATTAGTGAATGTTATTTTTTTCTTAAAAAAAAAAATTATTTTATTTTTAAAAATGATTTATCATGATAAATTTAGACTATCAATCTTAATCCTTATCCATGCATTATGTACAATATGCTACATGATAAATGGATTTTGATAAATTAATATATATTTTATTAAAAATTTTATATGGAAGATCTACAATTATCATGTAATTCAACTAAATTTTGTTATTATAAAAATTCAAAAAAATAATTATAATATAAGTTTTTTAATTTTGAAAGTATTTTTAAATTAATTTTACTTTATATGATTTAACATATTTATTTCAAATTAATTTCAAACACATGTTTATATAATATAATATTTATTAAAAATTTATCTCCTTATTTAAAATATAACATTTGTTAATAATTTATCCCCTAGACTCTGGCTCCGGCCACTGATCACGGGGAAGAAGTAGCAGTCTTAAACCATCTGGTAGCTAATCTGTTTAGAGAATGAGAACCAGTGGCTCGGGGAATTGGGTCGACAGAGTATGTACATACAAGCCAGACTGCTCCAGCCCATAGAACTTTGAAAGGTAGAAACAAATTGCGATCACAGACTTTCAAAGCCAAAAATTGTAATCCCATATGCATCGAAAATACGAGCACAAAAATTAAACCATAAAATATGTTAATATTCCAAAACTATCAGATTCATTGCCATACATTTGTAATTTTACCTGCTTGCAATTTGGGTACCCTGTTGTAATCCTAGTTCGAAGGCTTTTAGTACATCCAAAGTGTTTGTACCTCAGTGTTGAGGGGCAATCATAAATCTTCTGATTTAACACATAATTCACACATAATGTTACACGGACCAACCAGCCAGGTCATCCAAAAAATTGCAAATGCTGTGTAAGCTATGGGATGTAGGAAGGTATAAATCAAGCCTCTATGTTAAGACTGAGAATTTACTACTACATCCTCTGTTCTGGTTTCATATGGTGGTGGAAGCAATCCCCGTACTTTAGTAAAAAGATCTTTACGACCAGATGGTAGCTCCGCAACAGGTGAATCCAAGACAGCATCAGGAATCGCCACTAGGGTTTCTTCAAAAAAGGATTTGACTGTCTGCAATGTTCAGAGTAGTTTGAATTTAGGTAACAATCGAGTAATGGTAATCTCATGTTCAACAAGAAGGACACAGTGGAATTAGCGTGAGGTTACTTGATTATAGAAAGGAAGACAAATTAAAATAAGAATGAATCAATGCTTTCCTAAACTTCTGCATTGACATTATCTCTATTGAGTGCCTACACGCTAGGAAAATTTTCCAATCTGGATATTGTAGTTCGAACACTCACTACCAACCTTGCAAACCAAACAGTAGGTTAAAAACTGTCCACGCTTGCCCCAATTCTTAAACGAAACTAAGAAGGTTATTGTGATCAACATACCGTAATATTCTTCTTCAGGAAAGCAGCATCAGCTTTGCGTTTCCACAAACTGTTTCCGGGCTCAGAATAGAAAAAACCAGATAAAGGCTGCAGCATATTAACACTTTTTAAATATATTATAGCAGTAAGAAAATGCAAATTCAAAGAGCAGGATAAAAGAGAGATGTAGAGTAGTTTCCATTCTCATCCAAGGGGATTAGAACATGAATAAATCCAAACCAAACAGTAACCAAAACTTCAAGACGTGAAATGTGATTAACAAAAAAGAATCCTACACCAATAGCATGTCTGCATATCCTTTTCTTACAACTCAACAAAATCAGAACTAAATCTAAATTTCTCATAGCATGCAGATGATGGCAAAAAGCAGCACAAGTTGTGCACCCATACCTATACACTTTAACTAGTAGACATGGAAAAATAAAAATATTGTTCTGCACTATGGAGGGAGTATACATGTATAATTATTCATCCCTGGCAAATACCAAGGAAACAGAGAAAGTTCTATGAGATGTAGCTTTATATTTCAAATAAGACATTTAAGTTATTTTCAAAAAATGATTGCTTCAAAATAATCAGTAAAATAATATAACGTACCCTTATCAACTCCCGCATATTAGGCCTATTATTCCCATATGTTCCCAGAACAGCATCCCCATATACTTGATATTGTTCAAGGACCTGAAAATCAATGAAACCAGAAAATGATGTTAATAGGATATAAGGAAATCATAAAGGTGAGTGCCTATGGAAGGTCATATTTTCTCTTCAACCTGACGACGTGTAAGGCCGCTGCTTGGCTCGCCATAAACAGCAGAATCAACATGTGCCAGAGTATTCCAGAGGCTGAAAAAATATAAAGCTTTCTTTAGATTTACATCAGAGGAGAACAATATAATAGAGAGAGGGCTGCATAAAAATGGAAAAGCAAAGCCTAAAGGTATGTTTGTCTTATATTTGTCGTATCCTATCAATTGTAGCAGAAACTTGACCCATTATGTAAAAGTAGAGGTTACTAGTTTGGTCAAAGTCCACGCGACCAAAAAGGGCCTTATGGTCTCACATCAAATAAATGTCCTAACAAAGAAATTCTGGAGAAAATTCTACTGCTGAAGCCTGAACACTTGCACGAAGCAACTGCTCTGTGGACTAAAAAACACAACTTACAGTTGCCCCTCTAGTTTTTTTACCGTCACATTAGAAAAGATGCATATAGTCTGTTCAGCAGTGTGAATGATGCAGCAAGTGTTTTACCTGTGTTTCTGCAATAGAAACTTCTCTCTCCATATATTTATCTTTTACTTCTTCCCAAATATCATTACTATAATACCCCGAGACAGAAAAACAAGTCATTTAAAGTTTTTATTTTCTCCTTTACAGTATGCAGTTCGTTTGATATTCAGAGTTTTTTATTTTCCCCTTTACAATATACAGCAACTACAGTTTGTTTGATATTCAGAGTTTGTCGCTCGTTGAAATTCCCTACTGTGAGAAGACAAGGATTATCAGATCATGTCCACAGGGAGATTTTAAGGTTGCCTAAACCATGTCACCTGTTCTCCCTCCCCCCCCCCCCCCCCCCCCCCTTCTTAAAAAAGAAAGAAAAAGAAAGAAGAAGTCAGGTACAAGAAGTGCATAAAAAACTCATTATACATACTTATTGTAGGCAGCACGCCCAACCATTACACCATGCGCTCCTTCTCTTAATGCTGCATTTACCTATCAATTGAGATGTCCGGAATGAGCAAAACAATTTTGCATTATCATGAGGGACATGGGCAATAAAAGAACACTCATAATTCGATGAACCTTTAAAAGCATTGCAAAAGCTAGAATCAAAATGTAACCAGAAGCTAATTATACAACGAGAAAACAAGGCCTCACCTCATCAACACAATCTATGCCTCCATTTATTGTAAATCTTAAGTCAGGAAAATCACGTAAGAGGGCGTAATAGTACTCATATCTGCACCAGCATGTTCATAACACAAATTCAAGCACATCATTATCTGATCAAAGGATGCTTAAAATTAATGAGAAACTCATTTGTAGAATAGCAACCTACTGTTGTGCTTACTAAATAATTTATGTAGCATCAATTTAATTATGTTAAAATTCAATCACAAACTAAATTTTTAAAGCCCATACATACTTCAGGGGAGGAATCCTTCGATTGTCAGCTGGGCTAATGCCATTGAGCAGAGCCTTCCGTGAATGTATAATAAAATGCTTAGTGGGAGATAGAGAAGAAACCTTATAGATAAAATCACCTGAAAGGGGAAGAAAACATTAAGATCAAGGTACAATGCCAAAAATTTTAGCACCAAAAAATCACAAGTAATTAGCAGTCGAGTCGATATTCAGTATGGACAGTTTTAATATACATGGTAATCAAGGATGGCGTTATTGTTAGAATAAGCAAACTACCTCTTAATACATCCTCTTCACTCAGTGGCATAGCTAGAATGTTTTTTCATTGGGGTCGTATTTAACAGTCTTGAATAAAATTACTACACATTGTATGGCTGATTTGAAGTTCAAAACTTGTATATAAAAAAATAATCTGAAAGGAAATACTTAAAAAGAACAAAAATAAGTAGAGAGCTACAATAAAGAGAGATATTAATTAGTAATTCTGTGACTTTTATTTTTATTTTTTTGAAACTTCCACATAGACAGTGCGAGATATCTTCTTTATAAAATGCATGAACAGGACAGCTGTGGCTTTTGCAAGGTCTGTGAAGTACTTCAGAATTTACAGTAAAAACAATCACAAGACTCTGGTTGGAAACAATACCAAGATTCTAATCAGTGGTGAGTAAATAACTTGATGATGAAATGCATCCAAAGAGCATAAAAGCATAGGTACAAGAATTTAAAACCATTTTGCAAGCAATAGGACATGTGATAAACCATGAAGAGGACCAATAGAGAACATCTATTCTCAGTTTTCCGATTATCTACTTGTTCAAAGGTTAAATCTTTTGACGGGACAAGTGCTTGAATTACATAATTGTCTAATTTTGTTTTCCCTCAGAGAAACATAAGAAAGCAGATGCAGGGTCCTTACATAGCTCATTATAAGAATCATGATCATCTACACCAATTCGGCATTTAACACTGACAGGGACATCTGTGTTGGCAGCGATTACTGACATGGCTTCACTGACAAACTTTCCTTGTAAATACCAAAGAATTTATGAGAACATAATAACTATGAAAAAGAAAATAAAAACATCATCTAGACCAGGACTGATAAATTTAATTGGCACAGTTACCAAACCTTTGGATCGAGCATAAGACGGGCACCAAAGCATCCATGTCCAGCAACCTTGGCACTAGGACACCCACAACTGGTAAATTTTGGAGGAAAAAAATGAGTTGACTCAGTTTATCCTAGAAAAAACAACAAGAGAATTAAAAGCAAAGCAGAGAATTCTACTAACTTCAAGTTAATTTCATCAAAGCCATAAGCATTAGCAAGTTGAGTTGCTTTTGCAATGTTGTCTAAATTATTCCCACCAATTTGCAGCACAATGGGATGTTGTTCAGAAGGAAATGCCAAAAATCTGTCCTGAGCAATATAAACAAGAAATGAAGAATTAGTAGTTTTCAAGAAGGAACTAATCAATAAGCCAAGATCTCACCAAATGAAGGAGAAATCCAAAACACTCAATGGCAATGATGAAAGAAACAGGCGAATATGTGAGGCAAAAGGTAGGTACATTCATTTACGAGAAGATACCAAGGAGGAAACTAGTTTCCATAGATGGTACAGATATGCTGAAATGATCCAAACTGCATGCTTAGGAGAAGGCAATTATATAGCTATGTATGTATGTATATATATTTGTATGTATGTATGTATGTATGTATGTATAAGAGCATGCCCCATTAATACATTTCATCAATTATTTGGTTTCAGTGTGTATTTATCACGGACATGTGCGCACACATGTGTTTTATTTAACATTGTTGGAACCAGCTATGTGATTACTGACATGATGAAAGATCTAAAGTACTAGGAACATGTCTTCCTCTCAACCTCATTAGTCATCATAAACTCCCTATCTCAAGTTCTTGAAACCGTTTGTTAGTCTACAATTCCTGGTGAATCCAGAAAGAGTCTGCACACTGGCAGCCAATCACCAACCAATAAAAAATAATTCATTTCCATCCTCAATCTTTCACTCACATACCAAATTTCCCTGTTGATAAACAATTGTTTCTGCAGCAAGCATCTCCGTATACAGCCATGCATGTTTTGATATGATCCGTGCAACAGTTCTGTAATGTTTATCGGTCCACTCCATCATAGGTGCAACACTGCAAATATAACCAACCGAAAGCAATTGCAAAGAAAAATTCATTCTATCAACTCAATTAAACAAACAAATAAGAGAAACTGAACCACAAGTATACGCACCTGAACAAAGGAGGACGGTATTGTTCGGCACCCATCTCGAAGTGAGTGTTTATATTATGTAATTGATGTTTAGTAGCACAAATAGAAATGATTCTTCTTGACTTGATTGAATTGTTGGAAAATAAATCTAATGCTGACAATCTGCGCTGTTTTTTGAGAATAGTACATGAAGAGTAAATGAAGAGATCAAAAAATACCCAGGAAACTTCACCACCTCTTTCTCTCTTTAATCAGAGAAAGCTTGCTCCTCTTAGGTGCCTATATCCATATTAAATAGAAACTACATCATCATATAAATTATATTATACGCAGCAACCAAGTTGACATGCTCTACAACAAATCTCGCTATGGAGTTACTAAATAGGTCACATTCTTGAATTATCGACTTCATTCAAGCCAAGATGATATATTTTTTCCTTTCTTGTCTATTCAAATTCTGGATTAGATAGTAAAGATAGGACTTGAAAGGACTCGGAGACATCTCGAGCTTGGGATTCTTACCATTAGACTATTAAATTCCTGTTGGAGCTAAGCGTTACGGTGGATGCATAAGAACAAACTGTTCTGGGTGCGAGGAAATTGGGGATGAAAGAAGAGAAACTACTCTCAGACAGGCATTTAATCAAACAGGAAAGGAACAAGACGTTGATATATAAATACACCGGCTTACGCCCAAAATAGTTTTGCGTAGGTGAACATATTGCTGTATAATTATGAGAAAATAACAGAGAGATTAAGGTTTACATTAGAGGAAGATATCAGCCGCCGAAACCGGAAAAGTGGCTCCCGCGCCTTCTTCGCGGCAGAGAGACCTTGGTGCTTGTATGGGCACGAAAGTGTTTTGTTGAGGTAGGGCTTTCTCGTGGTCCTTTTTTTTTCTCCTTGTCTTACCGTTAGAATTGTTAGGTATAATTCCTCGATCAATTTCTACTTTATCCATTTCTTCTATTTTGTATTTACTAGTGGTATTTTCCACGACACGATGATTTTTGAAAATTTATTTAATTGTAAAATAAAAAAAAATATGTGAATAAAATTTAAAGTAGAAATTTATTTTTTTCATTAAAATAAGTTTTCTGATTTCTTACAATTTTTTTATTTCAAAAATAAAATATTTTTTATTAGCAACATATTTAATTGAATAAAAAGCAACAAAAAAACCATGATGATTTAAACTGAAAAAAATGTTTTAAATCAAAAATCTAATTTTATAAGTCATGCAATTTTTTTACTTCTATGAAAAAATGTTTTGTCATTATAAATATTATGCAGAATATTAGATGCAGGTGTGAGTAAAAGAAAGCTTGAATGATCAAGCTATAGTTTTTTGCACGCCATGAGAAGTAAAGAACAAAAGGAGCTTTTTTTATTCATGTTTTAAATTTGGTTATTATTGTTTTAATTCTATAAATTATTGCTTTGAAAAATCAAACATCAATTCATCGTTGAAATATTTTTTTTGACATCATTTGTAGCATGAGAAATAAAATAAAATACGACGCTTTAAATAATATCAATACAATATGAAAAGATGATATTAAAAAAAAAATGGAGTTATTGATATCAACTATTTTTTCAAGTACTAAAACAAATGACTAGTTCAAGTTAACTGTATAAGTCTACAATACATATGGGCCAGGCATCACATCAAAAAAAGTAGAATCCTATCTTGTTTTAGTTTGTTTTATAATCATATTTTTAATGTAATTATAGCTATAATACCAGGGGTAAAGTATCCAAGAGATTTAGTTAAAAATGCTTAAATAATTCATAATTTACGCAATAAAAAACATTGCTTAATTTCTAACATCTTGCTTAATTTTAGTTTGAAATATGCAAAGGAAAAACCTAGTTTTAATCCATGCTCAGACCATTTAATTTTTTTTAAAAAAAATTCAAAACTTTTTTTTAAAAATAAAAAAATAATTTTAATATATTTTAATATTTTAAAAAGAAACCACAATTATTTTTTAAATAAATTTTAAATCAAAAATAAAAAAATCATCATAATCAATCATATTCACTTGACATTTATGATTGTTTATATTTTATGATAAAGACATTATCGGATGAACTCAAGTATCAACTGAGACTATATTTCTCTTTAAAAATTTTTAAGATCCGCTTTTCATACGGGGAGAAATTATTAGATAAATTTAATCTATAAAAAAACAAACATTTTTAAGGTAACTTTTTAAAATTATGATCGCAGCAGCCGATGTGCCAACCGTGGGGCATGCCCTACAAGAACTATCGTGGATCACCAATCTTATCCAAGCCCAGCCCATGACAACCAACGGACATGAGTGGTGGATGTATAACTGCCGAACTACCATGCTTATCAACTCTTCCGTCACAGAGCCTCCATGGCTACTCTTAGCTTCAATCCAACGAGAGTTCCTCACAAACCCATATCCAAAACCGCTTCTTTTTCAAAACCCTCAGAGATGCCTTTCCCTTTCTCTCTAAAACGCTCAAAAAACCACGTAAAACCTCTTCATCTCAAATCAAACATCATAACCAAACTCTCAGTCTCAACACAAGAAGAAGAAGTGGAGACTGAAAAAGAGGACCTCGAAGATGACCCAACTGCAGAAACGGTCTATCTTGACCAGGAAACTGATCCGGACAGCATTGTGGAGTGGGAGTTGGATTTTTGTTCTAGACCTATACTTGATGTCAGAGGCAAGAAAGTATGGGAGCTTGTTGTTTGTGATGATTCTTTGTCACTTCAATTCACAAAATACTTCCCTAACAATGTTATCAATAGTATCACTTTGAAGGATGCTATTGTATCCATTAGTGAGGATCTTGGTGTCCCCCTGCCTGAAAGAATCAGGTTCTTCAGGTGATCTTTTACGGTAGTTTGTACATTACTATCTGTTTCTGTTATGTATTTACCAGCGCAGACACACACAGCTGCATAAGTGACTGTCTTTACTAAAGATGGTATGTGCCCGATGATAAGATTGTTTCTTTGTTTATAGGTCACAGATGCAGACAATTATAACCAAAGCATGTAAAGAGATAGGTATAAAGCCTATTCCAAGTAAACGGGTAAGTATTGTTTTCCGTTCATGTTACGAGTATGATTAATGAGGTGGTTTCGATCAAATGTGGAAATGGTCATAACCATTGAAGGTTAAATTTAGATGTTAAGAGTATTAATAAGTTCATCTATGCTTTAAACCTTGTATTTTAGGTGCCTTTCGAAAAGCATGATTGGTACATTACCAAGTTAGACACGAGAAAATATCGCAATTTTTTCGGATGCTAGTCAGTAAGAAAGGAAATCCAGGGGGTTCTTAAGATACCTCAAAATCACAGACATGCCACACTAGTTTCATGTACTTTGTCATGGAGTGCATTGAGGGTTCTCTAGATTCTTGCTTATTTAAGTTTGAAGTGCGATTCGAGTTTTGGTTTAGAACTTCTATGTTCTACAGTCACACCTTTGATAATTGATATGTTTTACAGTGCATATCACTACTTCTATGGCTGGAGGAGCGCTATGAGACTGTATATACGCGCCATCCTGGTTTCCAAAAGGGAGCTAAACCACTTCTGGCATTAGATAACCCTTTCCCAATGGAACTTCCAGACAATCTTTTCGGGGAGAAATGGGCATTTGTCCAATTACCTTACTCAGGTACAAGTAACTAATTGTTGTCAAATATAACACTGAGAATGCTATATTTTGGTCTCCATCCGACACATAAGATAAAGATGCCTTGCATATGAATGACATTTGTACATGTTATTTTAATTTGGTATTGTAGACTGTCTATCGGATCACAAATTCTACCATAAGTTAAAATTTTAAAAAAGTGGCATGGGTTACAAGGGCCAAGCATTCTGAAGCTAGTAACATACTGCCAACTTAGATATACTATATGTTTTGATTTGTTTGAAAACCTGCTCTGTTCTTTGCTGATATATTTTTCCTGCTTTAAGATAAAGATGCCTTGCATATGAATGAAATTTGTACATGTTATTTTAATTTGGTATTGTAGACTGTCTATCGGATCACAAGTTCTACCATAAGTTAAAATTTTAAAAAAGTGGCATGGGCTACAAGGGCCAAGCTTTCTGAAGCTAATAACATACTGCCAACTTAGATATACCATATGTTTTGATTTGTTTGAAAACCTGCCCTGTTCTTTGCTGATATATTTTTCCTGCTTTCAGCTGTCCGAGAGGAAATTGCATCATCAGGGACAAGATTTTTTTTGGTGCAAGTCTGGATTTGGATTTATTGGGAATTGAGATTGATGACAAGACAATGATACCTGGACTTGCTGTTGCATCTTCACGTGCTGAACCATTAGCAGGTCTACTCTCCCTCTAATTTCATCTTCTGTAGCCTGGGAAATGTTATTTCATGTAAATATTGGTATAGTCAAAGACCATGTATTGAAATGATTCGTCTGGTTATGTCCTATAAATACCATTTGCATTCTAATTCTGTCGTGGCGTGGGAAACTTGTTCCTCGTACAAGATACTGGGTTAAATTTTAACAAATCACAGAAAAAGGGAATATGGACTTTAAAGTTCTCAAGTTCATGCACTATTCAGATGCATGGACATTGGCTTCGTGGACAATTGTGCAAGACTCACTTCACCAAGATCATAAACCAGCTGCATGTTGTTCACTTGTTCTGCTTCATATCTCAATCTTTTAAAATGTTCATCGGATAAAACAACCTGCAGGGCATGATGTCATTGATACAGTTAGCTTTCACTGGGCCCTAATCGCATTCGTGACCCTGCTGATGACATCTTAAGTGATACTCACATTGCTCTGCACCATCGTTCTTATATAGGAAAGAAGCACGGTGTGCTTCTTCTTGTTTCTGAGTTTTGGGAAAGGCATCTCTACTTGATTATGCACCTAAAGAATTGGAACTGAAATTGCTGTAGCGACAGCAGATGTTTCCATAATTTTTGGTGAATCCTAATGCATATCAAAATATACAAGAATCTGATTCCTGTGATGATTGTTACGAGCAATTATTATTCCTTGGGAAAAAATTGTGATTGCCATGAACGCTGTTTATTTTTTAACAGACTTCCCCACTTCCATCTCCATGAAGTCCTGTCTTACTATCTTGTGGTCTTTTGGTGCATCTAATTGTAAGCATGCCTTCTAGAATTTTGTGACGCTCGTAAGGCCGAGTCACCTATTCGAATCTTTTCGTTTGCTATTGCAGCATGGATGAACGGGCTGGAGGTGTGCGCAATTGAAGCTGACACTTCTCGTGCTTGCTTGATTCTATCAGTTGGAATTGCAACCCGTTATGTTTATGCTACCTATAAGAAAACTCCTATAACAACAGCTGAAGCTGAAGCCTGGGAAGCTGCAAAGAAGGCATGTGGAGGTTTACATTTTCTTGCCATCCAAAACGACTTGGATTCAGATGACTGTGTTGGATTTTGGCTTTTACTAGACTTGCCGCCTCCACCTGTATGATTACTCATTGTTTTCTCATAAACCCTTTTCAATACTGTTAATGTTGTTGGGCTACAATCTGCAGAAAATTAATGCAATAGAAGCCAGATTTTTGTTTTCGTTACGTATTCATGTGAGCATGGATAAAGATAAGTGCTTCATTCTTACCGATGGAAAAGGTACATTAAATGAAGAAGATAGGAGAGGAAATTGAGATGGAACGTCCCGATTGTGTGCGTTATAACCTTGGAGCTTATCGGTGTAAGCACAGTATAGTTATATAATAAAATTAGTAAAGCATTCTTTTATCTTTTCAAGTTGTTTTAATTACATTATATATTTACTTATTTAATGAAAGTCTGTATAACGATAGATGCATGCTATATAATGTGAGACATATCTTATACAATATGGATACTGCCATT